AGCAGGTGACAATACACAATGGCTGTGTGCTTCCCATAAACCACAGTTATAATATGTTTTTCTTATGAATGTATTCAATATATGAGCCCAAAAATTTTTACACCCTTACGAGACTGATAAATGAATGCACTGTATAGTTAAGGCATCTTTCTGTCTTGAAAATGCTGGTTGAGATTTTAGACAATAGGTTTAATTCTTTGTTTGTAAGACAAGTATACAGACCTTAACAGAATGATAGTAAGGGGTTTTGCTTCCCTTTCTTTGGAAACATGAGCCTGCCCTGCATGAACTCATTTAGCCATAGGAGTTCATTGTCTCTGCCATCTGAAGTCTGTCTAGGGGGGAGGGAAGACAAAGACTCTACACAGGTATGTTGATGGCCGCAATCAATTTTTCACTCGCTGTGAGCTCCAATATTTAGGCCATCCTCCAAACAACTGCTTCAATCCAAAAACAGCTAGACTGTAGTGCATAATGTATTTCTGATGGATAAAATAATTCACATGCTCTTAGGAGTTTAGCTTGTATATCTTCGTTTTACTTGACTTTGGTAAAATTTCTACTTTAAGAAGTCAGCATATAAGTATTGTGACTAGTTTCCATTTTATTACCTTTTTTAAAGAATAAAACAATATGTTGTTTCTCAAGATCTGGTATATTAAAGCAACAATCTTTATGGCAATATTTATCATTTTGAAAAGATTCACCCGGCAGATGGTGCTAATCGGAAGGGAAGACCACGCAGTACATTTAGTCTTCAACTGTTGGACAAGGGGGTAAAGATTGTCCGGTAGAAACTCCTTCAAGTCACGTTGCACCGTGACACCCAAATACTTAAAGCAAAAGACCGATTTAATAGGGGCGAAGGAATTTATGGCAATTTTTACACCTATATAAAAAATATATAGTAACCGTCCAGTCAAAAAAAAGCTAGTTGAAAACCCGTTGAACCTTTTGTTCTTTCTTTACATAACAGATTTTAAAGTTCTTCTACATAATGCAGTTAAAATGTGTGCCAATGACTTAGCGCATTGCCCTAAAAAGGACCAGTCAGTGAAGAACACAGCTTTTAGCGCACTGTGTACTCTGGCAAAGGCCAATCCTTTTGTACACATATATGGAGAGTAGATGGTTGCCCTGTCCAATAAATATCTTCAGCTATAGGTCACTATGGATGGAGAATTGATTTTCACAATGCCAGTATATGCACAAGTGAATTATCGTCATGAGACTGTAATCAATTTCTATGTGATGAGAAAGTTAAATTTCTTTTTTAATAAATCTGGTCATGTACAAGTATGGCTAAATCTGCTACTGATTAATCATTGCCCAATGAATAAAGTTCAAAACATTAGCAATAACATATAAAGCCATTTATAAATCTGCCCCAAATTACATCACCAATCTTGTCTCCAAATATCACACAAATTGTACTCTCCGCTCCTCACACGACCTCCTACTCTCTAGCTCCCTTGTCCCCTCCTCCCATGCTCATCTCCAGGACTTCTCCAGAGCCTCCCCCATCCTCTGGAACTCTCTTCTCCAATTTATCAAACTGTCGCCGACTGAACTCACTTTTAGGTGATCTCTGAAAACCTATCTCTTCAAGGAAGCCTATCCTGCCTTCAGCTAATAATGGAATCTTCAATTCTTCCTACCAGTCCATCCCCCACAGTTATTACCTTTTGTACTACTAGCCCCTCCCTCTTAGATTGTAAGCTCCAAGGAGCAGGGCCCTCCTAACCCTCTTGTATTGAACTGTATTGTTGCTGTATTGTCTCCCATTATAGTGTAAAGCGCTGAGCAAACTGTTGGCACTACATAAATCCTGTATAATAACAATAATAATAATAATTACGCAAACCTAAGAAGGAGAGATACACATCAACTGCACACCCAGAACCCTTTCCTGGAGTCTCAATGAGGCTGTAATTGCTGACTTCTCCGTCTGCGAAAGCTAGGGTCCAGGCAGTCATGCGGACAGCAACATCTCTCCATCATCTGACCAATGGCTAATGATCGATGACACCACTTGCTGTTAGGAAGGATTAGGGAGGAGAGGATGCAATAGGCAGCAGCTTCCAACATTTTTTTTTTTTTTGGAATGAGTAAAGGTAAATATACATATCTTTACTGTTTCTGGTACTTTTAAGCTGGCTTTACACTGTATAGCCAACTTAAATATGTATGAGGGAAATCTATCAATTCATTAAACAGTGTAGATGGTTATTGTATCCAACAGCTGGCACCGACAGCTGTCAGAATACCTGAACTGTGGTTGAATCTAATTAGATGAAGCCGCTATTTGGGTTACAATTCCACCAGGAAGGAGGGTGCTGACAGGGCCATTCATGGCTCGAACTACAGCTGGTTCACAAGGAAACTGTCAAAATTTTCACTTTGTATGGCTAGCTTTAGGCCCTGTTCACTTGGGGCACTTAGCTTCATACCCTGTACAGGGCCATCTTCTACCAGCACAAGGGTGCAAAGGTGTTGCATGCATCCCTATGTCAATGCCAATTTTTTCTATTGGGACATGCAGCTGCATAGACATAGCTGCATGTTCTCGAACTCACCCTGTGTGCATTTAGGAACCTGCACCTGCCAGCACCCGCATGTCATATTGGGACACAGCAGCTGTGTCCAAGCAGCCTCGTTTTCCATTAGGTAACAATGGGATGCCGGCAAGGGGAAGCATGTAACACCTGTTGGTAAAATATGGCCCTGCATGGGGTATGTAGCTAATTGCCTTAGATGGTGCTTTATTTATGAAGACTTTATGAGAATAGAAAGTAGAAGTTAAATTGCCAGAATTCAATTTATAAACAGATTTATAAATATAGTGCAGAAAGCCATCCTTTAGTTTGAAATCCTAATAAAATACGCACAAAGAGATATTGAAACAATGTTAAAAAAAAGCAGCTGTGTGCTACAGTAAGGTAAGCAATGCACTGAAAATATCCCTTTGCATAATAATGTTTTTTTTTTTTTTTAATGTCTCCCAATTCTATGGTATATGACAATCTTCTTATCTGTGCTGTGCAAAAGCTGCCTGTTTATGTGATCATTTAAAATTGGAATCACAAATAACTGAAATTATTGTGTGATATTTAATGCAAATTAAAACATTTACGCTTGACCTATGTGAAAGTACTGTAGTAGAAAGCTTGTATGCTGGTAATTGGCTTTTGTAATAACTAAGCCTGTCATGGTTAAATATTACCATCATAGCAGATCTGCATCAGATGCCATATTAACAGGCTTCACAAAGTATTTCCACAATGCCCTGGGCACCAATTGATTCAGAATGTGCATTTTAGGTTTGTTTATGGGCTTCCTGCAGAATCATCACATGTGTCCACTCTTATTTATTGGAGATATGCAGAAATCAACACTGCACATTTAATGCCACATAGAGTGCTTTAGCTTCATGATGAGACATTTAAGCCACAATTATTTCACTTTTCCTAGTGAATTGATATGCTATTTCCACGCTGTTTTATAGTGGACAGAGTTTAACCCTTTATTAATTCAGATTCACAATTGCATACTCTTATGTTCGCCATACGCTAGTAGAATTTAGTTTAAAGATTTTAATTCAAAGCAGATTTGTTCAATTTTAAATCAATGTTTGTTATCAACAACAGTGATGAGAAAATTTGGAGGAGGAGAATAGAAAATTTTTCTTCAATGAATGAACGTCTAACAGTGAATGTGGTGTTTGGATTGGGAAAGTCCATTCACTCCAAAATTTAATGTTGAAAGCAAATTTTTTAAAGTACTTTGAACAGCATTCATCATGTCATCAAATGTACTGATGAGAGAATTTTTATATGAATGTTTGAAAATCCACTAGTATATGGCCAGCTTTAGATGTTGATGCTTCATCAGTTATAAACATGTAAGCCACCTCTTAACTAACTGGCTCTGCCCCAGCATCCACATTCTTTTTTTTTCTTTCAACCTGCTTAACCTCCAAGCAGAGCTCGTCGAGCAGCAGCTATAGCTGGTATGTCAACAATGAAGTTAACATTTTGGAATTTTGGAAGAATTTCAAGCTATTACCAAGTCACAAATGCATTCTTTTTCATTGTTGAATGGTCTTCTGGTCAGTCTGGTGGCATCACAGTTTCTTCCTCTTCTCCTCCAGCAACAGTGAAGGGTTCTGACTCCTGAACTGAATGGCACATGTATAATGACGTGTGAGTAATGTTCAGTGCAGTAGTATTCTGAGCCCAGGACACCACTATGGCGCTTTTCCAGAGGGGGTGTCCGTGACTGTCTGGGCCTCAGAGGAAGTGGGCTGAATCTCGCTGCCCATTATTCAACCCAGAAGACTGACAACATCTAGTGACACAAAAAAATCTACATTTGTGTTTGTCACAGAAGAGTCTGAATACATAATTATCAAGTAGATTATGATTTCTGAAGGGAAGTCTGGTTTTCCACTAGCATCTTGGCTCTCAGCATATCCTGCTCTATATGAGAAATCTGTTCCTTCTTGGGATACAGACTCCTAATACAGCTCAGTGCAAAGCAGGTCTGTTTCCAAATAGCTCCTTCTTATGCTAGCATGGAATAGCAGTAAAGATAACGGCAAATACAGGACCAGCCAATGCTGCTTGAAACAGGATTTCTCTTTGGTAAGTGTAATATATTCCATTGGCTACAGGACACATCTAAATGCTTTGCTACAATGCTACAACTAACCTTTAAGGTAAACAATCTAATAATACCAAAGAATATCTCAAAATAGGCATTTACTGAAGATACAGTACATTGTACTTTTAATTTAACCACTTTCCTATCGGGAACTTTTACCCCCTTCGTGCCCAGGCCAATTTTCAGCTTTCAGTACTGTTGCACTTTAAATGACAATTGACTGTACCCATATGACATTTTTTATAATTTTTTTTCACACAAATAGAGCTTTCTTTTGGTGGTCTTTAATTGCCACTGGGTTTTTATTTTTTGCACTATAAACAAAAAAGAGCAAAACATTTGAAAAAAAAAAGTTTTTTCTTTGTTTCTATTATAAAATTTTGCAAACAGGTAATTTTTCTCCTTCACTAATGTGCATTGATGAGGCTGCACTGATAGGCACTGATAGGCGCCACTGATGGGCACTGATGAGGTGGAATGGATAGGCAGCACCGATGGGCACTAATAGGCTGCACTGATGAGGCGGCACTGGTGGGCATTGATATGGAGGCACTGATGATGCTGCACTGCTATCCAGCAATGATGGGCACTGATAGGCGGCACTGACTCCTGGGCGGCACTGATGGGCGCAACTGCTGGGCAGCACTGATGGGTGGCACTGCTGGGCACAGATGATCAGGGTACTGATCATCAGTGCCCTGATAATCAGTACAGATCTGCTCTGTGACACTTGCCAGTTATCAGCAGTACTTTCCTCACGCTGTGACAGGATGAAGAAAGTGTTGCCAATAACCAGCAACTGTATTTACTTTGTAATCTGCTGTGTCATTGGACTCCTGGCACTCTGATCATGTGGTAAAAGGCCACTGTGATTGGCCATTTACCTAGTCATGTGATCAGCTGTGTCCGTAGGACACAGCAATCACAGAGATTGCCGGGTGCGCGCCGCTGGGGGCACGCAGAAGGGTGCATTCTGGGAGGACGTCATATGACGCCCTCCCAGAACTGGATAACCGTACTGTAGCCATCATTCGGCTATAGCGCAGTAACCAAGTGGTAAGAGAGAGAGGTTTTCAGGGATCATCTAGGATCCCTCTAGGGATCTAGGAGGACGTCATAAGAACCAGACAACTGTGCTGTAGCCCTCATTTGGCTATAGCGCGGTTGTAAAGTGGTTAAGCACTTTCTAGGCTTTAGATATGGTTAAAAACACTATGTTAGTTTCTCAAAAGCCATCTACATAACATATGTGGTGTATGTTTCACTAAATCATCAGCTTAATGGGTCTGTAGTTCCAAAGCACTCTATTATTGTTTAATTGCTCATCCTAACATCGCTAACAAGTCAAGACATTTCACCAAATTTCTCTCTTTTGTACCCCCAGTTGTATTTCTTTGGCCAATTTCCAAATGTCTTGGTAGCAAAAGACTGAATGCAAAGCTGTAGATTTCTTTCAAACATATCATGCCTTCCTTCCACAGACCAATAAAACATTACAAACTGCACTATTAAATTCATGCAAAAAGTGAAGGCCATACTTATAATGATGGTGCTGACCTCCAAAATTCTTCTAGAGAATAAAAAGAAACACTATAAAGGGATTTATATGTCAGCTTCCATCATATCATATACATTTCAACCAAAGACAAATGCTACAAAAGTATTTCATTCTAATGTTACAAATGTTGGATTCTTGTATATAAAATGCTTAAAACCACAAGTAATTTACTGTGTACTTAAAAGCAAGCTGAAATAAGAATGTATCCAATAAATCCAAATAACGATCATTAGAAATCACACCTTGTTTCTACCAAATTGTCAGTTACTATTCATGACACTAGACTGTCTACATGTGTCATTGAAATATACTGCTTCCTTGGGACTATGATGTCCATACACTGTTAATGACAGATACTCCTGAAATAGGAGTAAGATGGCTATTAATGTATGCCCATAGCCTAATGATTCAGAGGGCAATATGCAGCATGTAAATTAATTTGTCCCACAAGTAGGGCAATGATAAGGCAAACATCCTGTAGGCAGGTACAGTTTAACCCCCCCCCCCCCCCCCCCTGTAGGTGTCGCTGTACACAGGGAGTGGAGAATGAGTTGAACATTGTTCTTCTGAAGCCTTCGTAGGTGTCTTCAGGGGAGCAGTGGTCCAATTGGATGCTGAAACCCTGGATGACCTCAGCAGTCATCTTGAGTGAGGGCAATGCTAATAAATAGCAGTGCCCCACTACAGTTGGTGCGCAGTTGCGAAGTGGATAGGGAAGGAAAAGGAGCCAAACTGGGTAGGAAGAGATTATTTAGTCCTAGGGAGAGGTTCTTAGGGAGGACAGGGAGGAGAGACAGACTGGGGATCTTTGTGATAGAGTGGGATTAGTTCTTCCTAGAGCCATTATACCATTACTTTGTGTAAGAGCCACCCTTCTTCTCAGCTGGTGGTCCAGTATTTATAAATGAGTGAAAAAACCTTTGTGCTGGAACTACTCCAATGTGCCAGTAATATTGCTGAGAACCTCTGCACCTGTGTTGACTGTGGTACCGTCATGCTATCCCGTAGTATCGAAACGGTTAAGCTGATTACTTGTTCTGCCATTGTTCTGCTTGCGTTATTTGTTACCTCTCCATCTAATTAAATTATAATTGTGCAATTTTACTTGGTCTTTGTGTGCCATTCTTTCGTGTTGGGTACCAACTAACTGGCCCTGCCCACAAGTCTAAAATCATCACATGGTGTAACTTGTGTGGGTAGTTGCCCAGTCCGTTACACTCCACCACCACCTGTGCAAGACACAAATTCCCTTTTTTTTTTCTTTTCATCGTTTAGAGGATAAAAACAACTATGAACCTAACCAAACCAACAGAAGGCAGAGTTATCCCATAAAGGAAATCTTCTACTCCTTTCCAGAGATTACCATGCTTCCATCACCAGTGCATTTCTTGTTTGATGCGATAATGAAATGTTGTTATTCTAATAAATCAAATCTGCAAAATTTGCAAATTCTACTGGGGCTTAAATGCTTACATAATACAAGTAACATAATAAATATTGGCATCGGATTAAGCTCATATTAAGCTTACTTAAATTATATATACCTTCTTTTTAGCATGCCTCTGCAGTAACTTGTGTCCTCTTTGCCATTACTGAAATGGATTAAGAACAAAAAAGGATGCACATCATATTTCAGTGCTCTTAAATCATTGGAAGTGCACAGTCTTTTATCTCGCACCTATTTCTCTATCTTTATCTGCAGACATTGGAAAGGAAAGTAGCACATTGTCATTTGTAACTGAAAGCAGTGTCGGGATTTCATCCAACTCCTCCACCAGCTGTTACTATAATCTGTGTTATTTTCATCTAAAAGTTACAGAAAAAGATTGCAAAGTATCTATATCTATGGTTCTTGAGCATTTTTTGTTGGCCATAAAGGCTAATAGCAAGGATGTTTAAAACGTTTAAGGAACAGTACACACATTTGGAATGGAGCAAACGAAAAAAAAAAAACCCAATGCATTATATATATTATATTTATTCGTTAAACATAATGAATAATGGATTCATTCAAAATCATTGAATATATGTTTATATATTATTTATAGATATTACTACTGAAAATGCCACAATCTGAGCCTCTGGTAACCCCATGCACAGAATAACAGGTAGATGGAGGGTCAGTACTTGCAACTAATTAGGTTTACTTCATGCAAATGTGCTGCCAAGGAACAGGCTGGTGGGAGGAGATATAGTACATGACATTATCAGTGTATTGTGGCTCTGCTGTGCTATGCTGTCCAGTCACAGGCTGCGAACAGGTAAGTGACCTAGTTATATTACTTAAAGCGGAGCTCCACCCAAAAGGGGAAGTTCCGCTTTAAGCCTTTGTCCCCCGCTCCCCATTAAGGATTGGCACCTTTGGGGAGCGGGTATCCAAATTTGACAGGTACCCACTTTCGCTCCGGTTGCCTAGGTGATCGGAAGCGGAAGTTATTCTCCCCCCTCCCTCCCAGTAGTCTTCTGGGGACTAGTGACAGGTCCCAGAAGACTACGGGGCCATTCACAAAGTGCAGCGCTTCTCGCGCATGCACAGTGGGCACCTGGCTGTGAAGCTTCAAGCTGTCACAGCCAGGTGCCCACACTGAATATGCCGATGCCAGGGAGAGAAGACGACCGGTGAAACCAGCAGTGACGAAGACACCAATGGATCGAGGGACAGGTAAGTGGCTATATTTTAAAAGTCAGCAGCTACAGTTTTTGTAGCTGCTGACTTTTATTTCTTTTTTTTTTTTTTTTAGGTGGAACTCTGCTTTAACTGCAGTACAAAAAAAGTGAGCTCACCAAACTTTCTCTGCTGTTTGGAAGGTTTGTGTAAATCTTATGTTAATGCCCAAAATAGATGTGCCTGTGTTTTATGTAGATACATATTCAAGAGTATTAGTGTGATATTAAACCCAGAAATGTAATATATTGCAGCTTACCAATCTTTAGATGTGGACGCTGCATTAGTTTTCTTTGTTTAGGCTTTTTCCCTCTGTTTTTATTTGGTGATCTGGCCAATAACACACCCTGTATTAGGGTGCCTAAACTCTGGATGAAGGAGCAGCCTTTGGACAGCAGTATTGTCAGTCTTGGGGGAGGAGAGTGTTAGATTACTAGTGGATTTAGATACAAAAAATGTAGGCCAAACTCTAGCTAACACTTTTTAGGGTGCATTCATAGTTGCAAATACAGCCTCTGGGTGATTAGCTGTGAAAACCCCACAGGGGGTTCCCGCGGTTAGCTGTGAGTAAGCAGGACCATTGAAAGTAACGGGAGGCTCACGTAGCTAATCAAGCCCACTCACACATGATCTCTGTGATCATTACATGCAGGTTGGTGCTATAAGCTGCAAGTGTTGGCAGCCTCCCATTGCTTTGAATGGGGCTGCCTTCTTGCAGCTAATCACGGAAACTCCCTCTGGGGTTCTTGCAGCTAATTACTGAGCGAGTGCATTCATTGTGAATGCACCCTTAAGAGGTTACAGCAACAGTTTTGTTCCTTTTGGGATAAAAGTTTTAGATATACAAATAAAAGCTGAACATTGTAAGCACCCTTGTCAGTGGTAAATGGTTTGTCTCATCCCTCTAACTGCTACCCCCACCCAACTCAGTATAAATTTAGGCCTTCCTTGGGGGACAGCCAGGGGCAGCACAGCCAGGGGTAGTATTGGCAAGTATCATCTTGGAAAGTATTAATCTTCGATTAAGTATTGCACTTCGGCTCTGCACTTCAGCGAAAGCACAAAGCGAGAAACCACAACAGACAACTTCAAATACTAAATAGACTACAGGTGACCTGTTTCCCCATCCAGCTCTTTCATCTCTTACCCAGTCTGCTTCTTCATCTCACCACTCTGTAACATGCACTCCCTACTCCTCATTCTCACAGTTCTATCCTCTCTCTTCAAACTCTCTCTCCTTCACCCCTCTTCTCCACCCCACAGATTATAAAAAAATTACAGGAACACTGTTTAATCAGAGTATAGCATCAAGTCAATTAAACTCCTGGGATATTGATCTGGTCAGTTAAGTAGCAGAGGGAGTTGTTAATCAGTTTCAGCTGCTTTGGTGTTAATAAATTAACAACAGGTGCATTAGCTGGGCAACAATGAGATGACCCCCAAAACAGGAATGGTTTTACAGGTGGAGGCCACTGACATTTTTTCCCTACTTATCTTTTCTGTCTGTTTTTCACTAGTTTTGCATTTGGCTATGGTCAGTGTCATTACTTGTAGCATGAGACAATACCTGGGCCCTAGAGAGGTTGCACAGGCAGTCCAACTCCTCCAGGATTGAACATCA